TGGTTCTATGACAGTTCAGTGTGGCAAGCTGACGCTTCCTTACAGGGGCCAATACTACAGGCAGCTGCCCCTGAGGAAGAGTCTCCTGCTCCCACTCAGGGTCTTATCTCTAAGGAGGAAAGGCCTCCGGTGTCTCTTAATGTGCTAATGAAGTCATTAGCATTATTAATTGCTTTGTTTTTCAGTCTTTAGAGTACCAAACGGTGTAGGTACCAGGCTTACAACTTTAGAGCACTCTGAAAGTGTTGGTACAACTACCAGTGAATTTCCCATTTCCCTCTTACTTACCAGCTTCTCTTCCGGGTTGAGGAGCCATCCCTTTTAGTTGAGTCTAACCTTTACTGAACCATTCTTTTAACATTCCTTGTAGAACAGATCTGGTAAAGGAATATTCTTTCAGCTTTAATTTACTTGATGATGTCCTTATCTTATTGTAATTTCTAAAAGGTAACATGGTCAGGTAAAACATTCTCATTTTAAAAGTCTTTTTATTCCTATCTTGTAAAGATCTTGTATTCCTTTCTCCTGCACTGTAAGATTCCCCTGAGAAGTACGCTGTTGGGTGAATTGGGGCAGTTTTATCGGTTATTTCTTTTCCATTACCACCTTAAGAATCGTTTACTCATCATTCCCCTTTGAGAGTTCAATTATAAAACATGCTGAGCTTCCATTTTGTTGAGTTAAATTTTCCTGGTGATCTGCTTCTGGATATATGCCTCCTTCTCCATGTTTGAGAAATTGTTCCGTCATCCCTGCCACCCACCTAACCTGGTCCCGGAGATTGAACCCAGGGTCTCCTGCTTACTCGGCAAGTGTCCTACCACTGAACTACCCCTCCCAACGCTGTTATTTCTCTAATGAAGCCCTGTACCCCTCCATCATTCTTAAGTTTTTCTTGAGCCCAATAATCTAAATATTTACTCATTTAACAGAATACTCCTCAGCTTATTTCACCCTTCTATCTCCTCCAACTGTATATTTTAAGAAGGCCATCTTCTTCTATTTGTTCTGTCCCACCATAACTTCCTTTTATTATGTTTTTTACTGAGCGTAGCTTTCTATTGAAGAATTTGAATTTTTAAAATTTTCTCCCTTCTATTGAACACATTTGAATGCTTCTATGTGTTTTAAGCATACTGAGTTCCCTTAAATTTGTTATTTTAAAGTCCCTGAGAGCTTTCACATACTGATCAGCCTCCAGTCAGTTTCTGGCACCTTCTGAGGTGAGGTCATGATTTCCTGAAAGTTCGTGATGCTTATTGCTGGGCAACATCATCTGGTCCAGATTGCTTAATCTGGCTTTGTTTGTTCAGTCCTTTCCCCAGATCCTAAACTAGACACTGCTCTACTCCAAGCCTGGAGTCATGCTGTTTCAACACTGGGCTGTGTCCAGGTCTTGATTTGCTAAGGATCTACTGTTAGTATATTGTCAGTATTTCATTGTTAGAGGAGAATAAGCCCAAGTCTGTCCTAACTTCACTGTTAGAGTCTTGTTCAGAAAGAACCAAGAAAATATCTGTATGTAGTAGTCTGCTTCCTCAGGGTTCCTTAGATCTTCAATTGCCCTATATATATATCAGTGGTTACTGGCTGGTAGGGCTCTAACTAGCTTTAGCCAAACTCATCACAGATGAGCCATCTCCCGGTACTTATGTCATTGTTATGATTGTTTGTCACTTTAAGAGACAAGCCACGCCCACTCCTGGCAGCCCCTCCCTTCCTCTCGCCACCTTGGCTTCCTTTTGGCCCTGAGCGCTGCACTTCTCCTCCCTTCTCTCTTCCCTCTCTCTCTGTCCTCTCCTTTCTCTTCCTTTTCTCTCTCTCTCCTCTCTTTCCCCCTTTCTCCCCTCTTTCCTTCCCATTCCATAATGCAACTAATAAATATCCAATTCTATGCCGTACGATGTGTCTGTCCATGTGCCTCCCACCCGCTGCCCAGCCACAGTGTTGCTGGGACCAGCCCACCCGCCCCATGGCTGGGTCCTGCCAGGGACTGGCGGCTCTCGGACCCGCTGCTCGGGACCCACCACGAGCTGCTTGGGACCCGCAGGCAATTTCATAACAGTCATAATCATTATCACCAAAGACACCACATTATTTCACATCCTGAGCTTGCATCTTGCTAAGATCAACATAGCACTGAGCTAGGCCCAAGCCCCACACTAACATGGTTTTCTATTGCGGAGGTGAACTCATGCCTAAGACCACCACCACAAGTCACAGGTGACGCCAGTTGGAAAAGAAGTCTGATAGACCGCAGTCTCTTGTGTTCCAGAGGCTTCATCCACAGGCGAGACTTGGGATCAGTCTGTGAGAATCTTCTCAGTGTGATGAGAGTCCCAGGGCAAAGTCTGCCAACTGGCATCGCCTGTGGTCATTGCACCCGTGAGCTCACTGTAGTTGTGGTCGCCTGTACAAAACCTGGGGAGAATGGTCTCAACAGCTTTTCATCGTGGGAGGGGGAAGGGCTCATGAAGCACCACCCATTGCTGAGAGACTGTTAACAGTGATGATGGATGGGGAAAGGGTGTTACTTTCCTCGGTGGTATAGCCTGGGCTATAGTAACCTCCTCCTACCCGTGCTCATGCTAATTAAACTCAGTGGGTCACACACACAAACGACACCAAGGTGTGTGGCTTTGGGAAGAAGAATGGTTTCAGCAGAAGGAGTGGGGCTGAGAGAGGGTGCAAATGAATAAGATCCCTTCTATACATGTATGAAACTATCAAAGAATAATAAAAGAAGAAAAATTAACATAGAGGCACAAAAGATTCAGAATCGCTTAACCAAACCTGTGTAAAAAGGGCAAAGCTGAAGGCACCGACACAGTAACCAACACATGGTATCAGCATAAAAACAGACTTCCAGACCGTGTAACAGGAACAGAGATCACAGAAATAAATCCACATGTGCTGAGCCAACGGATTCTCCCCAAAGACACTAGCAGTGCACACCGGAGAAAACCTCTTCAATATCTGTGCTTGGAAAAGAAAACCATATACAGAAGATGAAGTCCCAACTCGTATCTTTAATCCTATAAGAAAACTGACTCAAATTATATCAAAATCATAGACAGAAGTTTCTGCCCTGCCTGGTACTGCCACCATTCAGTCCAAAGAAACACACAGAGGCTTATATTAATTATAAACTGTTTAGCCTCTTAGCTCAGACCTATTAATTAACTAGCTCTTAAAACTTAAATTAACCCATAATTCTTATCTATGTTTAGCCACGTGGCTTGATTCCTTTTCTCAGTAAGACATTCTCATCTTGTTTCCTCTGCATCTGGCTGATGACTGCATCTCTGCCTTTCCTCTTCCCAGAATTCTCCTAGTCTGATTGTCCCATCTATACTTCCTGCCTGGCTACTGGTCAATCAGTGTTTTTTTAAACCCATATAAGTGACAAATCTTTTCAGGGTACAAGAGCATTATCCCATAGCACAAAGTCACAAATGCAGAACCTGATGCTCGCAGAAAAAAATTGTATTGGTAACAGTTCAGGGGATCAGCCTAGGCAATGCTTATTCTGGGTAAGACTTCCAAAGCATTAGAAACAGAAACAAAACCATATAAACATGAATACAGCAAAGTAACAACTAACAGAGTGAAGACAACCTATGATGGGGGGGACTTGACAACTATTCCTTGATGTGGGATTTCCCTCTGTATGCTAAGAATATGTTTTATTACCATTGGTTAATAAAGAAGCTACTTTGGCCCATGGAAGGGCAGAATATAGACAGGCTGGAAGAGATATAGAGAGAAAGAAGGCAGAGCCAGGGAGATGCCATGTAGCTGCCGAAGGAGACAGACACTGGAACTTTACCACAGCCACAACCTCATGGTGATACATTGATTAATATAAATGGGTTAATTTAAGATGTAAGAGTTAGTTAATAAGAAGCCTTAGCTAATAGGCCAACAGTGTTGTAATTAATACAGTTTCTGTGTGATTATTTGGGTCTGGGCGGCCGGGAAGAAATGAGCAATCTTCATTTACAATTCCTAACAGAACAAATAGGCAACTTGAAAACCTTAACAAGAATATAAGTAATCCATTTTAAAACGGGAAGGTGATAAGAATAGACATGTTAGTGAACCAGACTCTGCCTCCAGTGAATTACACACTCAATTAAAATGTTTGCCTCTGGAAGCCTGTGTATGACATTTGGAACTACAAGAGGAACAAATGGCCAGGCAGTGGTGGTGCACTCCTTTAAACCCAGCACTTGGGAGGCAGAGTCAGATGAATCTTTGTGAGTTCGAGGCCAGTCTGGTGTATAGAGCAAGATCAGTATAGCCAAGGCTACACAGAGAAACCCTGTCTTGAAAAACAAAACAAACAAACAAAAAAGAGGAACACATGAAATCATTCCTTTTGGGGCCAGGACAATGTAACCAAATCATTCACAATCAGTTAGCATCCCACGTTCATCTCTTGAGTGAAAGACTTCTGGGCTTTGCTTGGGAGAACCTGGAGATGGACTCTGTGCCATGTTTGTCTGACACCATCACCACTGGATGGCAGTAAGAATCCTTGGTTTTCCTTCTATTGAGTCTCTTCAAACTAACTTGCCTTTTTATCTGGTTAAAAATGCCATACTGGGGCGTTAACTTTCACCAGAACATCCTTACTTAAAATGAATTAAACATACAAGACTCAAGCTCAAAAAAATTTTAGGGGGGAAAAAAGACAAATAGATCATTTCAAAACAAGTTTAAGATATTTGGATAACATTTAATATTGTACTGTTTTCCTATTAGTTAAAATGAGTGTTTACTATGCCATTTAAGCATCAAATTAGGTGAAACGTTCAGGTATAGATTACATGAGTTCTTCTAGAGACTACAAAGCTTTAAACCTGGGTGGAATAAGGCTCTGAAAACAAGACGTACACATTCTCATTTATTGATTATCTTCAACGTTGAATAGATTCAATTTCCAGAACAGAACTTCAAATCATGACTTGAAATTCTCCATATCTGAAAATGGATGTATTACCTTATCTTCAAGCTTATTCATTCAAATGTTTGACAAAAATTTACTGAAACATATAAGGTTGGATATTAGGAATATAAGCAAATTTAGGATCCCAAGATCATCACAGTCGTGGAGCTCCAATGCACTGGCCATGCCTAGATGCTCAACCAGAGAGTCACCTCCTGGCACCCCATCTCCCATAGCCAGTTATTTGTTCTCCACCCTAGATATCTCTGGATTCCATCCATGCCTCATATTTTCCACTTTGAACCAATCTTAACAAGCCTTCCTGGCTTTGGGTGTGCCTGGAGTGTCATCTGTATCCCCATCCTTAAACAGGATGCAAGCTTGTTCACTTATTCCATTTGGACAAGGAAATGCCAACAGGTACTCCAGTACATCCCCAGGGTGCCAAGCATGCTCTTTCCTGTTCCGTCCTGCAGCCGCAGACCTCTCCATTCCAGGCTGCTGCATCATCATGGCCAGCTGCCCGAGAGGTGGCAGTCCTCCTGTCCCACACCACATCAGTTTTCTGGGATGGCTTCTGCCACGGCTGCAAGTTAAGTTTCTTGGGAAGCAGAACCTGGTATGGAGATCAGCACCCAGGAATTGAATTGGGGAATATTCTTGGGAATATTCTTCCTAGGTGATAAGAGAAAGCAATCAATACAAGCAGTACAAGAAGATGGACGATGATGGATTTTTAAAAGACTGTTCACCTCACTAAGATCTTTAATTCTGCTGTTTAAAGGTTTACACCCAAACAAGTCACATTAATGGAATCCATCTTTGTGTGTTGGTGTCTCCTTTGATGCATTGACTCTAATAAAGGAAATGCCATTTGAACACCACGGATGAAGAGTCCTGTCGTGACTTCCTGACAGTCTTCCTTTCATTCATCTGGAGGAATATAATTTAGTCTTCTGAACTCAGTGAGTATGTTACAACAGTTTTCTTACAAATGCTAGTTTTATTTCATCCTTTTAAATGAATATGTGTTTGTTTATTTGTTTCAGATTTATTGCTTGAACCTAGTGCCTCATGTATAATCGGCAAGTGTAATTCAACTGAGACTTTACTTACTTATCTTAATGGGCATACAAACGAAGACCAGTTCTTCAGGAATGTAAGTACTGAAATAGAAGTCAGCAAATACCAGAAGCTGAGACACGCTGAAAACATTCATTCTTTGGCATTTAGCATGGCCAATACTAATCTGTATTGGTATTTGTTTCTTTGGCTCATCAGTGTTTTCTATGCACCTTTGCTCAAAAATCACTGAGGAGGCAATGCATTTTAGTTCATTGATCTTTTGCCTTACAATCATAGCAATCTTTTAAGTGTGGCAGAAAAAATAAATGTACAGTTGTTTATGGCCTTTGTTGCTCAATTATAAAATGTGAAGCTTACAGGGAGCTTCTAAGCAAGGATCAGGTTTTGTGCATCGTGCCACCAGTCCAACTTGTTCCATATAACTCGAAAAATCTCTGAAAAAAAAAAAAAACCCTGTCATCCTGTTGTGGGTATTTTTGACTTTTAAGCATCATCCTAATTAGGATGACTTAAGGCTCCAGGTGTAGCACACCTGCCACCAAGGAAGAGGTTTCTCATTGACAGTAGTAGATTTAAATTTGCACTTCAAAAGGCTTAGCAGGTAGGCAGTGTCTCTTTCTCTACACTTTGGTGGGCGTGGCATCCGACCTCTGATCCTCCTGCCTAAACCACTTGAGTGCTGGCATCACATGCTTGATCACTAGCTCTCTTTATGATGAGTTCAGATTGATGATAGATTGGCGTAGACTACTCTATTCTGATCTGATGATTTATACACACACACACACACATACACACACACACACACACACACATCACACCTTCATTCATTCGGTTTTGTAAACTTACTTGGCTGTTGAAGAGTTTGTGTCTTGAGTAGGAAGATTTTGGATTGCAATTTATTTAGATTTATTTCGTTCCTTTTTTAAAAAATTCTATCTAGACAGGGTACCATATGGATAGGGTCTCTCTAGCTGTCCTGAACTCGTTCTGTAGACCACATTATCCTTAAACTCAGAGACCCTCCTGCCTCTGTCACCCAAGTGCTGACATTAAAGGTGTGCACCACACACACATCATTTTAAAGATGGTACTGAAGATTGAACCCAGGGCCTCACATATCTAGGCAAGCATTCTACCACTCAACTCTACTGTCTTCCTTTCACCTGAGTCTTTGCTGTATTTCTTTTGAGAGAGGGTCTCGCATAGTCCAGGCTGGTTTTGAACTCACTATGTAGCCTGGGCTGACGCTAAACCCTGAACATCCAGTCCTCCTGCCTTCATCTCCCAGAGCTGGGATTACAGGCACATGTCACCCTGCCTGGTTTACACAGTACTGGGGATTAACCCTGGTTTTTGTGGCTGGTGGGCCAGCTCTCTACATCTGCAGCCTGTTCATTATATTTTGAATGACAAATTAGAGGGAGAACTATATAAAAGCCATTTTTTATTATGAAGGTTAACTTAGTAAAACTAGAGAACATTATGTAAAAGTCTCCTTTCTGAACACTTGAATGAATGGTTTGAAGCTTGTGGGAGCAACTGGGGAGGCAGCGCCACCAGACCTGCCATGCTGCGCTGTCGACTGAGCCTTGGAGCTGCAATTAGGGCTATTGCTGTAAGGAACTTGGTGGGACACTGACACTGAATTTAAAATGTTTGGTGTCCCTGTCAACCAGGCCTTACCATTCTGAACAAGCAGTTTTTTGAGCTCAATGCAGATGTTCGCTTTTGCTTCTGTTGACCTTTGTCCTCTTGTTTGGGCCTGTCAAGAAGATATTTTAGCACCCCCACCCCACACACACATATAGATATATCAAAACCCTGTCTCAATGTGTAGCCAGGGCTTGTTTGGAACTTACTATGTAGCCCAGGCTAGCTTTGAACTCACAGTCCTGCTGCTTCAGTTTACTGGGTGCAAACGCTTCCTTGGTTTAGCCATCAAAACTGGGCTTCTCATCCTGTGGTCTATGACTGTATGCTTTCTATGCCCTCTAGTACACGCCCTCTGCAGCTCCACTCACGACATGAACACATGTACCGAGACAGGTGTCTCTTTGAAACAGAAGGCCTCAGTGACACAAATAAACCGCTTCCTTTGCCAGAGCTGCCGAGCCCCCTTCCGGCAGCAATAGTAGCGTGGTTAATGTGTAGCTTCCTCACTGCTTCCTCGTGGGGTCGTTTGGATTGGAGACCAGGCAATGTGAGTCAAGCGATTCTTAGAGATATCTGTTTGCACATTCCCCTCCCAGGCCAGCCCTAGAGATCTTCAGAATTCTCTCCCCAGGCTCCTCCGTAGCTCCAGGTCACTTCCTGGCATCCTCAGGAGCCCCTCTTAAGAGAGATATTTAAATTAAAAAATGTTCTCCTTTTTTACCTTTGGCCCATTTTCTCCGCTTTGCTTCCTTCTTCTCCCTACCGCCCTGCTCTCTGGTTCCCAGGCAGGAGGCAGGGGAAGAGGGTGGGAAACAGGATGTGTGGCCACCCTCTTTGATGTCAATGCACTTCCTCAGGTGAGAGAGACTCTGGCACATAAAGGTCTGTTAGAGGGGAGATTCCTGTCTACTGTCTCAGTGAGGTGCCTGTGGCACCTGCAAGGAGGGGCTGAATTGGCAGCTCTTACAACTGTGGCCTGAACAGCCACTGGTTTCCAACATTATTTCCCTCTCTCACTAAACCCGGAAATTCAGTCCTTTTATGTCCTTTCAGTCAACACAGGAGAAGTGTTATTTCTACCCCCACCCCAACAAGTTTTGCTCTGTAGCTCAGGCTAGCTTCAAAGTCCTGATAATCCTACCTTTGCCTCCCAGATGCTGAGGTTACAAATGTGTGCCACTCTGTCTGCTGGGAGAATTGACTGTACAGAATTCTGAAAACTTGAATATTTTCATCTTTATTGTGGGTTACCTTTTTTTTGTTTTATTTTTCAAGACAGGGTTTCTCTGTGTATCTGTGTAACAGTCTTGACTGTCCTGGAACTCGCTTTGTAAACCAGGTTGGTCTACACTCACAGAGATCCACCTGCCTCTGTCTTCCGAGTGTTGGGATTAAAGGCGTGTGCCACCAGCACCCGGCTATTGTTGATTATTTCACTGTAATCTTTCCCTTAATCTTTGATGTCTATCTCTTCAGTAGCTAAGAAGGAAAAGGAGGCATCTTCTGAATTTGTGTCTTTGTGACTGTTTAGACCTCTCTTGTCTCCACCTCCAGCAGAATCAACCTCTTTGGCCTTGGTGATGGACCAGCGGCTCAAACTCTCCTAGGTCTATCACCTCATTTCTGGTCACAATGACTGTTACCAGAAGCAAGTTGATTAGTTACTGAGGGCAGAGTCCTGCCAGGAAGCACAGGGGGAGGGGCTTTCCTATCTGGTCACTCTGAAGACTATAGCTGTGGGTCTGGAAGAGGCAGATCTCATCTCATGGAGAACTCAAAGTTTGAAGAGATGAAAACCCAGGAGGAAGATTCTTGGTGCTGTTCCAGTGGGTTCCCCAGACACCCCAATGTTGTACTGTCTCCTTTCTTCCTGAAATGTAATTAGTTCTTACAATTCTGTGTCCATCAGTCAACTTTAGATGCCTTTCGTCTTGCTGCCATCAAATGTGACTAATTTGTTTTATTAAAGAAAGATAACTCATAGTTGATATCTAACTCCAGATTCTAAAGTGGTGTGGTCTCTCTGAGCAAGTCAACCAACTTCAGTGACCTTAAGATCTCTGATGTGATTCATTGTGGGTTGGGAGGGGCTCTCAAAGTTTGCACTTCTGGGTTAATGCTCCTCCCACCTTTTGCAGTAAGTCCATTTGCTGGGGAACACATGGTGGAGTTCAGGATGCAGGAAACAGCATCATCGGCTGTCCTGTAAACAAAGTCATTCAGCATTTTCAATCTACAAAAGTTCTAAGAGCGGGAGTCACAAGGAACTGGATAGTGGGCAGTTAGAATGAGCTAAAGAACTCATCCTTCTTCATTGGAAGATTTTTCTGCTCTGGATACCTGCTGTACTGGCTCGTTTTGTGTGTCAACTTGACATAAACTAGAGTCATCAGAGAGAAAGAAGCTTCAGTTGAGAAATATCTCCTTGAGATCAAACTGTAAGGCATTTTCTCAATTAGTGGTCAATGCGGGAGGGCCCAGCTCATGATGCATGGTGCTATCCCTAAGCTACTGGTCCTATAAGAAAGCAGGCTGAGCAAGCCATGAGCAAGTCGCAGCATTCCTCCCTAGCCTCTGCCTCAGCTCCTGCCTCCAGAATCCTGCCCTATGTGAGTTCCTGTCATGACTTCCTTTGGTGATGGACAGCAGTGCCGAAGTGTAAGTCAAACAACTTGCTTTTTGGTCCTAGTATTTCATTACAGCAACAGAAACCATAGCTAAGATATCTGTTATAGTCCTTTCTCTGTCCTTGACTCTAAGAGTGAAGCACACAACTCAGTAAGTTAGCCAGAAATGCTCTTCTTTATATCCCCAGGGCTGACTCAGTCACACATACAGAATTCAGTCCAAAACCTGTTGGGACTTCTGGGAAAATAGTGTTCTCTCTTCAACATGAGGGCTAAATGTAAGATCAGGGAAGTCTGGGAACACCG